CCTTCCCGCGGGGAGCGGCGGCGCCGGGCCCGCCTCGGCTCGGGCCGCTCCTGCTGGGACGTTCCCGCTGCGGGATCCGCTCCCGCCAGCAGTCACAGCCTTAGGGCCGGGCCAGCGAGCTGCAGGCCTGCACGACTTGGGATCCTGGGCCTTGGTAACGCCAAGGTAGCAGCTTGTGGGTATGAAAAACATTTCCGGATTCGGTTAGAAGATACGAGGTCACGGAGTCCAACCTGTGACCGAACATCTTGTCTACCAGACTATGGCACTGAGTGCCACGCCTTGTCTTTCCTTAAGCGCCTCCAGGGATGGTGACCCCACCACCTTCCTGGCCAGCTCATCCAATGTTCACACTTACTGTGAAGAAATACTTCCTAATGTCCAACCTACGCCTTTCCTAGAAGAGTTTAATACTGTCTTCTTATCCCATTGCTGTTTGCCTGCGAGAAACGACCGAGACCCACCTGGCTGCAGCCTCCTCTCAGGTGTTTGTAGAGAGCAGCAAGGTCCCCCTGAGTCTCTGCAGGCCAAACTCCACCAGCTCCCTCAGCTGCCCCTTACAGGACTTGTGCTCTGTTGCCCTTCTCTGGACGTGCTCCAGCACCTCAATGTCCTTCCTAAACTGAGGGGCAGAGAACTGGACGCAGGATTTGTGGTGTGACCTCATCAAGAAAGGTCCTAGGAAAGCTATTTGTATATGTTGCAGCAGGGAATTCGCACCCAGCCTTTTGCAGTGTTGTGCCGAACAAATAAAGTGTGTTTAACATCCAAGGCAAATGGACCAGAAACACCTGGCTGTCATACTGATCTGCTTGTGCAACATTTCAAAGTAAACAGGAACACTTGGCCAAATTGAGATTGCACAACGATTTGACAAAAGCTGAAACTGTCAGCCAACATGTGGTGTAGTAAAACTGTCAACCAGCATGGCAATGTTCAGTAAATGTCACCGAAATACATTGTCAAATGCACAATAGATGCAGCAGGCTTCTCTGACTGAAACCTTTACAAAGTCTATGTTGCAGATATTAAATGTATTAAAGCTAGTGAGTTCATAGGTTTAAGCAATTAATTGTAAATATGTTGAAATATTTTCAGCAAAGTCACATGAGTTTTTAGCCCGGTATTTCTCAACATGCTTATGTTGGGAGCAAAATGCTGGTAAAAGCAGTAAATAGTGAACTGAGCAGAAGAGATCATGTTATGAGTGTTATTTAGCTGACACTGAGCACAATAATCCTTTTATCTCTTTATCTAAAGAAATTACTCTTATGCAATTGCAATATTGGGCGTTTCCTTTTCCATGAATCCTTTCCTCCTCAAAGGAGTTTTGAACACACTGGCCTACTTAGCCATATTTGCAAATATGTACAAACCTTGGAATGTTAAATTCTTACAGCTTCAGGGTGGGGAAAAAAAGCAGTCACATAGGAGGGAAGAAAGGAAGGTGAAGCACAGGTGTTACACAGCTAACTAGCCAGCACAAGGTTGTTTTACTGCTTGGGCTAGTAAAGCAGAGCTTTGGGTTTGGCTAGAGCATGTCTTTCACAGAGAGTGACCACTGGCACACAAGGGACCTTGTGTTACTGCTGTAGGTACACATGCACTTACAGACTTATGCAGGGAAGACATAAACCCTTAAGAAACAATGTTTGAAGTTCATTGCTTACAGAAGAACTTGTGAATATGAGATCTGATTTCCAGGCTTAAAGCATACCGAATTGAGGTTAATCTGCCAGAAATTCATGCTCAAGTAGTAATAGAGGATTAACGTTCCCACCTGTTACACCTTCCTACTGCTGGAACTTACCACTCCCATCTGATAGAAATAACAAGAGAGAACATGTTGGTTCCTCATCTTCTGGGGTTCAGAATATAACATGTGCTGAATTTCATGGTTGTTTGGGTTAATATTCAGTTTGTGAACTACAGTATCTCCAGAGCAGGTATGCTGCCAATTTTCTGACTTTTCTTCATGGGCAATAACATCTAGGAGAGAGGGACAGAGAGCAAGGAACAGTGATCTGTACCCACCATGAATTGCCAGACCCCAGGAGGCGAGATGGGCAGCCAATTTGTGGCAGTGAATTACAGTACTACAAGATAAATATTTTAATATTTTAATAATTAATATCCAATATTTTAATACCTGATAAAGGGATTAAAATATTGTATTTTCATGTGTAGACATTTAGAATATAGTTTTCATGTGTAGTGTAAGTGTAGACTTGGTAATTTTTTTTCAAGAATTCACATGGAGAAATGATTCTGAGGGTAGATAGTACATTAATGTAACAGAAAAAGGTATCATGAGATTCAGTTACTGGAAGCTAAAAGTAGACAAGTTCATGCCAGAGGTAAGGTTTTATTCTCAAGGCTATCAAACCACTGGAACCCTGGAGGTTGTTAATTTAGCCCTCATGTGAAGAATTTAGAACAAAACTAGGAAGACAAATTTAAAATGGCTGTGCTGAGTCAGATCAGAGCCATTCTGACCTGATGTTGTGTTTCTAGAAGTTGCCAGTGAGGAAAGGAAGCTTGACCAGAGTTGAAATGGGGATCCCAACAACTCTTGGATCCAATTTCTCCGGTATAACAGGTTGTCTATCTGCTAGGGAACCCACATTTTTTTCCACCAAGGTGCTGTTTCCTAACCTAGTGTGTACTTGGAGAAGCACTCAGTATCTGTCTTTATGACTTCTTAACTTATACTGTATATTTTAAGCAAAAGTTTTAGCCTTGATGCAAAAATCAGTGACAATGTCTGCACATTTCTGTATAGAAGATGACATTACTGAAATTACTGAGCAAAGTTTGGTTGTAGCAAAGTTGATAATAAATGTTCAGGGACTTCCATGGACTACTGCACTCTCTAATCCTGAATCCAAAGTATTGGCTTGAAACCATTAGATGAATGTTCTGATGCTCTATCAGCATGGACATAGAGAGGTTAGAAAGAGAAATGGGAAGAAAAAGCATTAGAGAAGCAACGAGAGTAAAGTACACCATCTCCCGTGCCTCCACCATATCAAGTACAACATTGCATATCCATTTTGGAGTAGATCTGGCTTTCCTGAAGACTCTCCTGCAGGTAGAAAACCAATTGGCTACCTTTTATCACATTTATAGCAGAAATCCATCATCAGGAATTTACTTAATGATTAGCAAGATTTCTCCCTTGGCAAAATCCACCAGCTGAGTACCTGTGCATCAAAAGAAGTGTGACACTACATAAATAAATACACAGAAAATAAAATTATTTATTCACTGAGGCACAGAAAAGAAAGAAAGAGAGAAAGAGAGAAAAGAAAGAAGAAGGGAGAGACAAAGAAAGAGAAAAGAACCAGCGTGTTCCTCAGAAATGTGAGTCCATAGACAAAATACTTGAAGGTTGAATTTATGTTTTTTAAAGGGAAAAAAATAATGTGGCTGTATTTTCAGCAATGTGTACCAGAACATATTCTGAAGATTAGATTGATTCATGCCTTTTGATGTTCTAACAGAGCACTTAGGGGAAAGAACCTGGAGGAGAATGACAGCAGAAATTGAAGACATTTGTTCAGTGCACAGGATATGTCTTAATCCGTATGTTTCTCGTTATGATTGAGTCATGACTGCAAAGCAGTTTTTTTTAACAAAGACACGATGCATATATCATCACACCAAAATGTCACTGTCACTGTCCAGGGGAGAGATGGAAAAAGAGCTGACTAATGTTACTTGTATTTGTGATACAAGATAACTCGAGGACTTGGATATTTACACTGTCGTTGCTGTAACTACATATTTTAGATTTTTTTTTTTTCTTGCAAGCATTTGTTGATGGTTTAGCAAAGTGTAGCATAGCAACAAGTATTAAGGGAACCAAAGCCATCCTTAGTATTCAAGTGGTAAAGGGGTTTTTTTCTCCCTTTACAGAAATATACTGCAATTCTCCTCAGTTATCACCAGGTGGCTTAAAAGTCTCATTTTTTTCTGAAGCTGGGAATAGTTTAGACACGAGGAAGTGATGTATCCCTGTGGTGCAATCGTTTCAGGAAATAGTTCAGTTATAGTTCTCAGCAAGGTTTATTTTTCCGCCTTTGTCTTGTGTACTGAGCAGTAGCTAGTAGTGAAAATAGTAAACGTTAAGACTGCAGGTTTCCATTTAAATTGTATCACTGAACTCTTCTTTTTTTTTTTTTTTTTGGGTTTTTTTGGTTTTTTTCCTTTAAAGAATTTTGATTGTCAAGAATTCATGATGATGAGCCGGCTTTTTCCTCTTTTATTTATCTCTGTTCTGTGTATGAACAGCTTCTCGGGAGTGCAGGGAAGGAAATGGAAAGGTGAAGGTACTACTCAAAACCTGGAAAGTATTGTCATTGGAAGATGCTTTAATTATATAAGAATTGTGAACCCTGCTGTTGGGTAAGTTTTGCTTGTTTCTGGATTAGTTTTTTATGTTTTGTAAAAAATGGTTGTTAATCAGAAGCCTGATGTTACGCTTCTAGGCATGAAAGTGATCTTTTTGAATCCAACATACTTGTAGCTGTCTCGAAACAACAAAATAACTTCGATGGAAGTCATATTTTAAGTAAAGTAATTAAGGCAAGATTTTTGATCCTTCAATTATTTATTTCAGATTTTTTGCCCTCCTCCTCCCCACCCTTACTTTCTGTAAGAACAACACACAGAAATGACAGGGATGGTGTTTTGGAAGTACCAAATCTGAGAGCACTCCTGGGAAGACCAGCTTTGCCTTGCATGCCTCTGTGTCAAGTCCTTTAAGAAAGGGAACACCTCACTTTTATAGCTATCCTGTGGTACTGAAGGAACCTTTTTAGCTCATCCACCTGAAAAATCAAGTAGTAACCAACTGCTCAAGTAGGATTATCTGTGAGCTTTCATTGGCTGCGCTAATTACACAGAACTGGAGGTAAATCACACTTTGCTAAAATAAGCACTTCTCTGTCTTCCTTGCCTAAGGGCTTCAGTAAAAAGGAAAAAAATAAGGATAGTCTCCTGGAGTCCAGCCTTTTATTCTGCCACCAAAAAGTTGTCCTAACAGTGTGAAGAGGTATTTGCAGAGGGGCCATGGCTGGCTTCCTATAGTATTGAATTACTGTCTTAAAACAGGGTTAGATGATATTGCAAGTATCACCTCATATCCTCAACCTCCCATTTTCAGTTCCTGTTGCAAAAGAGGGAGATAAAGTACTTAAAGCATTTTTTTTTCACTTTTAATAAAGGCAAACCAATATATTTCTTCACAATAACGTTCTTAACTTATCAGAAGTATTTTCTTTCAAGTTTCTTATGGAGGAAAAAGAACATCCTAATGCAAATAACACAGTGCATGAATTTCAGTGGGACAGTTCAAGCTTGGCAAATTTATAAACGTGTCACAATGGAAGGGGGAAGTAATTTTTAAGTATAGATTTCTACATTCCTGCAATATAATATATAATATTAAATACGTGAACTTAGTTAACAGTTGTGTAGGTAATCTGGCCTTGCAGTAGGCTCTAGATAGGTACAGCTCCTGCAGGACTTAACAGATGCCACTTCATTTATATCTGAAGCAGGACATGAATGATAATACAGAATATGCTAAAATGAGCAACATAAATGATAGTTACTGTAGACATTTTAGCTGGATCATTAACTGATTTGGACTTAGAGATGTAAATGCAATATTCTGGAAAACATTTCTGTATGTCTCATGTTTATGATGGTTTTATTATCTAATGAATTCTGGTTACATTTTCACTACATGATTTTAAAATTGAGAAGTTTGAACATGTTCATCGAAGTATTCTCGGTCAGGATAGTGTGAAGCCAGGCGGGACTAGGACTGCTTTCCTGGTATTATTAAAGAAGTGCTACAAACTGATTTTATATAATGTGGGGATTTTTCTCTTTCCCTTAGGTCTATAAGCAAATAATGTAATCCAAACAAAATGGACATTTCATATTGTACAGGTGCAAAACAGATATTCTAATTTAGATTTATTTATTTATCATTTGTTTTATTTATTCTAATTTATTTATATCCCTTTCCATTCATTGTCTGTTTCTTAGTTTCCCCCTGGGTAGCTTTAGAGACATAGAGACATGACCACCTGGATATGTTTTGTTTCTGAATTTATGTGCAAATTTTCTAAAAATAGTTTGCTAACTTAAAGGCAGCTAGCAAAACATGTCTTTACACTGCAGCATAGTTAAAAACATTAAAATGTATATAGAAACATAAGAAAAACTTTCTCATGTGTTAAAACAGAATATGCAAAATGGCAGTCAAAAGAGGCATTTTACAAAATGCTGTGGCCATGTAGAAGTGAGGAATTTGAATTAAGATTATATTTGACATTTCCTAACAGGAGTATACTAAATAATACAATTATTCCTGTAGTGCTTTTACTCCATATTTGTTTATTTGTAGTATATCTTGGAAGCTTTGAAAACAATTTTTTAAACTAAATAGTGTGAAATTAATCTGATTTATTAGTGTCTGCTAATATTAGAAGAAATTGTCCTGCACTGCAGTCCTTCCCTACCCTCTAGCTTCAAAAAGTGTTTTTGCCACCTAAGAAGTTTTGAGCATCAGAGCAGAATAATCCTTTTGATTTACAATCTGTTCAAACCTGGATGAGAAGTTATGAAAAAAAAAGAAGTTATATGTGAATTAGCCAGAAAATTACTGATGGATTCAACTGTCAAGAAAGATGTTTAAAGTTCAGTTGATCCTAACTCACAAGTACTAACATAAGTACTTCAAGTAGAAAGCTCTTTAGCAAAATGAGATTTAAGTATATACAGTAGTCAGAAGCCAAAGTATAACAGCTTGAAATCTGAAATAGGGTACAAATCCTTTTGTTACGTAAATGTGTTTAAACCTTGAAACTACTGATCAAGGATCAGATTGCATCACTGAAAAGTTTTAGGTCAAGATCCATTACTGCTGACAGTATATAGGGAATTTTTATATAGCTGTTAAAAGCATGACCAGAGATTTCTGTAAGAAGATCTGTGGTCTGTTTCCTGCATAGCTCATCACAAGCACTCCTTTAAAGTGTCTGTGATATTCATTGTCACAAAGCAGCTCCCTAAAGCACCTGTACCATCAGAAACCATGATGTCTATGGATGATGCTAAATGAGCAAAACACTGTAATGGCAGAGTTTGCTTTACTTATCAGGACTACTGTTGTTCAAGCTAGAGCTTTGCAATGACATCTATTCATGTTAGGAAGGCTGTATGCATGTAACACAATTGTTCTGTTGTGCAGAGTGTTCCTGGCATAGACGTTGTTACGACATTGTGTGGGGAAGGTACTGTGGAAAAGTGGTGAAAGTAGAAATTCCCTTCTTAATTACTCCAGGCAGGCTAAGAGCTGTGACAGATGAGATCCTGAAAGTTCAAAGAGATAGGACACGTCCATCTGTAGATAGCCTGTCTTTTCCTCCATGGATGTTCTCATCCCTGAGACAGAGCTGGCAGAAGGGAAATGTTGGAGTGCACAGCCTAGCATCTCATTTCAGCACTTGAAGTGTTGAATGCTAACAATATTCTTGTAGTTGTTGTAACTACTGCATAGTGACAGTGTGTGTCCCACACAGTTCCTGATCACTGTACTCATTCCAGCAAGATAAAACTGCATAGCCCCAGGGCCTAGAAGCAGAAGGCATCTCTTTGTCACAATCATTATTTTACCATCAAAACTTTTTAGCAACTCATCCTGCACTTGAATCTGACATTTTAAGAGTAATATTGGATTCCATCAGTGTTGGATATTTAGCTATGGTTTATTTGAAATGGCTTTTTGAATCTGGAAAATTTAAAAGAAAACTTTTTCTTCAGTATTTCTACAGTGCTGGAAAGCAAACTCATGGTGTATACCATACCTGGTAAGATTTTTGTTGAATCGCAATGTGTTTCCAATTCCACACTGTAAATGCTAATATTTTCCTTGCTACATCTTCCTTATCTGCTGCAGTTATGACTCAGAAGACAAGATCTCTATGCTCTTCCTGAGCTACAAGTTTTTTATCACCCTGACTTCAGTTTTCTGCCTTAACCTTTTAAGGATTTTAATTGGGGTATTTGGAGGAGTTGAGGACAAATATCTTTCTTGCTTGGCTTTGAAAAAACAATTTTGCTGTTTCTTTGTTTCAATGATTACAGTGAGAAGAATTGTTCACAGATATGGGAAGCATTTAAAAATGCATTTATTAACAAGGATCCTTGCAACATTCTACCTAAGGATTATGAATTATTTATCAATCTCACATTCCACACGATTCCACCTAACAAGGTAATAATTTTTTATGTTAATTACCCTGTGACATACAACAGATTTTAGGTGACACAGTCCAAAATTGATGACTCATTCTGTAGCTGACTTTTGAGTCACTCTTGTTGACCAATCTGTAGTTTATAAACTAGACTCTGTATTTTATAAACTAGACTCAGACTTGATAGCATGTTTTAATATGTTTGGCTCCATTTATTTTATGGAGTAATTTCTCAGCAATGTCTCTCTTTTCATACTACAGAGATCCTCCATTTTTCCTGCTGTGCTGGGAGCTCTTCCATAGTCCCTGAAATTCCACTTCTACTTTTCCTCAAGTTAGGTGCTCTGGCTGCAAATACTGTGCCTGCTGTCATATTTTGCTTTTGCTCCTCAGAGCTAAGTCTCATGACAGTGACATGTTAAACACTGACACACTGAACAAGCAAAAGCAGAAATGAGAGAGGATGTTGTTCTATGCCAGAAAACAGTAAGGGTTTGATGTGCTGGCAGTTGCAAAGAACCGTGAAAGTGCAAAAGACATGTTGTGCTTTAAAGCAGTTTTTCCTCTAGCACAATTATTCCTCATTTCTAAATGATACAAACTGAACCAACAGATACTACTGTCAACATAGCTTAATTCATGTGAAGTTCCATAAAGACAGAAATAACATCTAGGCATATGATTTTTTTTTCACACCATAAGTCAACACAGCAACGTGAGAGTTTTGTGGTAACATATATCTGGCTTATAAATATCTTCCTTTTTCCTCCTTCCCCTAAATCTGTCTATTGAGCCAGGCAAAGCTAGGCCTAACTATATTTTAAAAAGGACTATATCCCTTCTCATCAAACTAGTAGTGTTCCTCAAGTCACTTGTGATCAGAAATTATACCTCTGGAAAATAAAAACCTTTGTTCCTTTAAAAGATAGCTAACATTTCTGGTTATTAGCTTGATTTGGAAGGAAATACCAAAACATGTTTTAAACTTTATTCAATACCACATAATCTCATTGTGTCCACACCAAGTGATGGTGCATTTCTTCTCTATGTTTTTTTTCCTAGTCTCTTTTCTGGGAAAATAATCAGCTACTAGTCAATAGCTTTGCTGACAGAGGACGTCGCTACATGTCTCTGGGTGATACTCTGTTTGGCTTCATTGGAGATTTTCTGAACTGGTGTGGGCAGGCAGACAGCCCTGGTAAGACAATGAGTGCTATGTTAAACATTTATCTGTAAAACCATAATGGAGACCAGCTGCTGTGTTCTGGAGAAACTAAGTATGCTCTTAACTCATGAAAAATCAGGGATAGCTTCACTGTCTCATTCTCTCTTGTATTGTGTGAATATTTAGTACTGCAGTCAGGAGAGCACACGGTGAAATCCAAATGTTCCTGCAGTGGGGATAAACCTCTTTCTCAGTCACCTGAATCTGGAGCTCCCTGCATCCCAGAGCAGAGTAGAACCATTTTAGCCAAATTACTGAATCCTCAGAATGTCACTGTTTTTGTGTAAACTACAAAGGATGGAAAATGATTGAAAAAATACAACAGCTTTCAGTACTATGTCAAACAATCTTGTGGGTTCAGTGAGTAATGCACAAATATATTTAGTTGCTTTATAAAGTCACTTTTTATATTCATTATAATCTCTCTAATAGCACAAATCACATGTCTTCCTACAGGACTGGACTATGAATCTTGCCCAACCACGTTGGAATGTGAGAACAATGCAGTGGAATCTTTCTGGAGGATGGCCTCAATCACTGTAAATATTGTATTAGTGCTGACTTCATACATCTGCAAGTGTGTCTGGGGTGGTTCAGGAAAACATTGCTGGTTCTAAACAGACTTAAACCCATAACTCTACTGGATATTTCCCCTGATTCAAATTCACTGTTTTACACTGGCTGCAATGTTTTAGCAAGAAGAACCTAACATTCATCTCAGCTAGATAATGTGTTAAAATTGTTAGCCTTTTTAATATTTAGTAAGCACAGTAAGCACACTGATTCTCTGCTGATTATAGGTCCTAAGTGACATTTGACAACCTTGCTGAAAACCCTTTACTCGCAGATCAAACTCAACAGAGAATGGAAAAATGCTTTTTTCTTGTGCTGAAGAAATTAATTATAAATGTGAGAAAATAGCTTGAGAAGAACTGTTGATTTAACCATGGCCAGTTTGGTTCCTGTCCTTTTTACTGCAGTGACCTGCTAGGGTGTTAGTCTAATATTATTTTTGCAGTTCTGATATTCTTCGTTGTCTTAGTTTGAAAAGACAGGGGTCTGCTAAGGAAGGCAGGAGTTTCCTTAGAAACGGAAAATGTAAACCCCCTCCCTCCAAATTATTACCATTTTGAAATTAAAGGGCTCTCAGGCAAAGATATGGGAGTAGGAATAACAGTTCTTTACTAGTATGTATAAATAAAAAAGAACCTTCAACTTAATAGGAAAATTAAAATAAAATGCACTAGTTCAAAATGCACTGACAGAATACACCCTGACACTCTGTTGGTCAGCAGTCTGATTAAGTGGTGGCTGCAGTCCTCCTGGGGTGACAGACTGGTTCTGTTGAAGCAATGATCCTGTAGAAGGGTGTAGTTTTCTTCTGAAGGCCCAGAGGTGGTGTAGATGGGTCTGACCTTCCTCTGGGAATCCAGTGGAGAAAGGCTGATGTGGTGTACTAAATCTCAGATTATATCCAGGTAGTAATGCTTGGTTCCTCCCCCTGGATGGGACATCTCCCAGTGGGATGGTGTAATTTTATCAGTCATGCAGTCAGACTCAGTGGCTCATTAACAGAAGATCTCCCCCTGGAGGGAGGAGGATGGGTCATGGAAGAGATAAAGAACACTGCCACACCTGGTTTTAACAGATGGAAATAGAATACATACTCTTGGTTACATCTTGCATTGCAACCCAAGACATTCGTGGTAAAATTCTTTCCTTGGTCACTCTAATTTGCAATAAAATACCAAGTTATGTGACAAATCTGTGAGATCTGAAAAGCATTGTTATCTATTGCAGTATGCACAGCACAGTTCTGGGGTGATACAGGTCTTGCTGAATGGTTCTGCAGAGGGCGGAGCTTATCCACAGCCAGGGTAAGAGAACTGACTCATTTCTGTGTAGAGTGTGATGACTACAAAAAAGAAAATTCAACCAATTATTTGGGTTTACTGCTGCACAAAGTGTGGGAAGTGTAGCTGAAAGGACCTGTTGCATCAAAGTCTGCTGAGCTGTGGGGACAACTTCCCTAGCTGAAGGAGTAATATGTAGTGGATGGAAACCTTTCAATTCCTGCATTTTACAAATTGCTGTGGCAAGCATGCTGAATGCTCTGAAAGGTGCCCTCAAGTCAGCCAATATATGGTGGCAAAATGTGTATGTCTTCAAAAAGATGAGTGCTAACAAAATTTCTCTTTGGGGACATGTCAGACTAGAGGATATTGTTACAAGGAGTGTAGCTTTTGTCAGGCCTACAAACAAACTTGGTAAATTCTAAAGGGAAAGTATTTCTCCATGACCAAGAGTGGACATAGTTTGAAGTCTATTACCGTTTCAGAAAGCAGAAAAAAGGTTTGTTGAGGAAGCTAATAGCAAAGATGAGCTTCCTCTTCCCCTTTGTTCCTCCAATACTAAGGACAAGTGTATTTTTCCTTATTCAGAAGTGTACCAGTATGCAGAAGCTCATCTAAGTTTACATTCAAAATTTATGGTAAAAGTACACCCTTTAGAACTTTTACTATGTGTCTGTAGTGACTGCTTACCTGTGGTAAAAAATGCATCCTTCATTACCTCAGCAACTGTCCTGTCCAAGGCAGGTCAAAAAATTACATCTTTCAAAAACCCATAGAAGACATCCCCCTCCTGTGTATTCACTGAGGACTAAAAATGACCATTGAAAAAGCAATTTTATTTCTGGATAGGAGAGAACAAAGAACCATCTTTTCCAAAACTCCTCCTAACTACTTACCTCTGTCCCCCGAAACATCCCTCTCTATACACAACTTTAAGCTAATCACAAAGACTTATATAGTCTTCTTGGGTTGGTCAAGTGGTCAGCTAGGATCAAATCTTCTGCAGATGGTAATACCTGGCAGCAGGCCAATACCCAAAATCTATTATAGATGCCTTATTTTAGAAATTGATTCCTTATTTCTGTTCATTTACAGATTCCTTATTTCAAAAACATCTCACGCACACATTAATTCCACCAGTTCCCTAGGTTGCCAGTCTGGTGGTATTTTGACCAGTGAAATCACCACTGGAACTCAGCCTGCCAAGGAGAAAATAAAGGCAGTTACTCCATCTGTTTGCTTTGCTGTGTATCCTCTGGTCCATTTATGACTGAATTTGTTTAAGAGTTCATGTTTGAAAAAAAAGCTGGAAGTTGAATAATTAATAGCAGACGGTTACCTGAAAGATCTGTCTGTCTCCCTAACCATCTCTCTTGTCTGTTTTCAACTATTCCAAAGCTCCTTTCAAAGTTTATTCAGTTTTAAAGTTTGTACACTTAAGTCATCATTAAGTCACCTGATATCATTTCAGTTAAGATTCATTTCTTATTTCATGGCAAAATAATTCACGCAGTATGAATTTAGTTGGCAGATTTCTTTAATAATAGTATCCAGTTAAAAATTCGTTTTACTGAAGTGAGTTGTACCTTGTTCCTCCAGGGCTTCTGACACCTCTAGTAAAAGATTTCTCCACATTTGAGAGCAAGCTTCTTTTTTTCTCTGCAAATAACTTATGCATGACTGAGTAAATGAGTTGGAATCTTTATTTTTTGTTATATTTTCACTACGTGTTGGAGAGGTTTGGACATGTTAGACAAAGAGGCAAACCTGCCTTTGCTGCTACTGGTCTCTGGTCAGCCACTGCCATACCAGACTTGACCAGAGAAAGCAGCTCGTGCTATCTGTCCTCTTGTTCCACTTCTCCAGTAATTTAAAATAATTTTCTAACTTCATGAACCAACAGACGCCGGTAAGCAACACATGTCCTGTGCTTCTGTGGCAGAGCCCTGGTGGTAGAGCCACCAGGAGGACAGACCCACATTGTCACAGCTGGTCCCATCCAGCAAGTGGCAACTAACCCTCCCTTCTTCTCTTGGAGGTCTCAGAACATTTAAAAGGGCTAAGAGACACTGTAGTGCTGATAGAGACATTTAAGAAAATACATGATAGGCAAATAGCAAATTAGGGGAGAGACCTAGGCCCAGACTTGGACCAGGCATTCAGTGAGGACACAGCCCTTACAAGCTTTCTGAGGGAAAAAAACCCTAAAAGATTGGAAATCATTATACTACATCTTGAAAAAAGGGTTAGAATCTATCTGTGGCTTTGAGATGCCAGCATGTCACAAAAAAAAAAAAATCTAGAGACATTAAAATCAACCTTTGGGTTTCATATCTTCTTAGATTAGATATTATGAGGAAATATCAAATTATTTTTGGTTTGCTTTAGCATTTGTAAAAGTTCATTCTGGTTCACTTTTAGGTGAATTCATTAATGCAGAGGAGGAAAAGACTATTTAATTTTCATGTTCTTTATAATTTTTTTATTTTTTTTTTTCTTGAATCAGTTTCTTTGCAGATTATGAAATACCTAATCTCCAGAAAGGCAAAATCTCACAAATTTTCATTTGGGTTGTGGATGATCTTGAAGGACCAGATCTGTAAGTTATGTCTTAAAAAAATAAAAAATTAGTTTCTCCCTTTTGGACTTGTCTTTAAAATTTCACTGTATCTTTCTATTGGATTATATTTGCATACTACTTAAAACAAAGTATTTTAGATGCTTTCATGAACACAGAAGACACAACCTGCCATTCCCAGAGAGTATAGAAGTACCAGAGTTAGAGAAAATATAAATAAATTCTAATATTAGATCTGGAGCCAAATCTTGGTTAGATGTGTGTGTGGATCTCAGATGCTGAATGAAGATAGAGCATGAAGTTTTATTAAGATTCAATCTGAATTTCAGATTACATGCTGATGAGTGATACTTCTTTCACCTTGGCATATGCATTCTTTTCATTTTCACCTATCTTAACTGTTTGAAAATTTGTAGAAGCAGGCAAATACCAACAAGCAGATCTTTATCTCTCAATAATTAATCCAGAAATAAAATCTAGGCTTTAAAAGTGTCTAATTTTGCCAGTAATTTAATTAAAGCAAACAAAAAATAAGTAATAAACAAATACAACAAAACAGATGAGTCCAAACAGAATAGTCTGTTGTGTATTTTACCACAATGCTGTGGAGTCTACATAGAATAGTTCAGATTAGCATTTCTCAGCCTGTCTCTCTAAATCAAAGAATCATACCCTCTGGGAGGGAAAAAACATACAGCTCATCTTTGCAAAAGCTAATATAAACACTAAGTGTTAATTTATGTTTCAGTAAATGGATGCATGGGAGTAATGGTATATTTTTATTAATTGTTTTCTACAATTACTTGGTTGGTCTACATATGATTTCTTTAGTCAGGAGTATTTATTTACCAGCAGGTAAGTAGCACTGGCCTTAATACTTTATGTTGGTGCAAGTTTAGAGGTCTCAGTAAACTTTCTTATTGGAGTACAAATTAAAAAATCAATGCTAGGAACAGGAGCTGTGTTAAAGGGTTATTTCTGGGTTTTTTCTTTCTGTGATTTTCTATTATTCAACATTCAAGAGAGAGAACAAGCTAACAAGAAGTATAATTCTCATTTATTGTAACAAACTTATTCTGTAAAGACAGATAGCATCAACTTTATCACTACCTAAATAGTTGCCAAAGAATATTACAAACAAAACACTATTTTACAAAATTATTTAGGTCTTTTTCTGTCTAGTCAAATATTAGAGTCAAATATCAGTTATTGGTGACTAGAATCTGGAAACCCTACACTGGCTGAAGCTAATCTTCCAGATTCTGTAAACTAGGGATAAATTGTGAAGCAACAGTAACGTAAGCAAATGAAGCAATGTACATCATTCTTCTAGAGGTGTTATGGAATATAGAAGAGGTAAAGTAATGGGGGTTTTCTTTACTAATTCCCTCAAGTACAGTGAAAAGAAATATAACAAAAGATTTGCAATAATATTGAAATTCTTTCTCACAGAGATTCCTGTGGAATTCGGAGTGTAAAGACATTAGAAACCAGGCTGAAAACTCTTGGTTATGATGTTACTTGCACTGACAATAACAAGTAAGTGAAAACCTTTTTTTAATGTGCTGTATTTGCAGAAGCACCTTATCTATTTTGATTTTTGCTGTTCAATACTGAAGTGCCATTAATGTTGTGTCTTCAGGAGGGACAGATATGGTAGAGGGATGATGTCACATTTTTCAGACTTGGCATTTTTTGGTTGTGAATTGATCAAAACAGTACCTTTTATTGTATGATTGAGTGGAATGTTGTACTTAGTCAATTTCAGACACAGAAGATGGTCTCATGTATTTGGATTTAAATCTAAACAACAGTTAAAAAATATTGAATGTCTGCAGAATTACTGGTTATTCACAATAACTATTTCACAGCTCTAGTCATTCACATTGATTATAAGATAAATTTAATGAAGATTTAAACATGATAGTATTGTGAATTTGTTTCATTTTTTCATGCTTTTTTCCTCAGTTGTCTGCCTGAAAGGTGCTAAATAAAATGGTATTTTCACAGGTCTGTAATGTTCTTGCTCTGTCTGGATAATCCTGATAATTCTAAGTGTGCCCTTGCATCGTAAGTAAATCAACCTATCCTCAGTGTCATTACAACTGAATAAATTATGCAAAAGTCAACAGTTCAACAGATACCTCTACCACCTGTTCTGTATCACCCATAGGCAATACACAGTGGTCTTGAATTTATTACTTACTGTTGATTGAGTTTGCAGTTTCTAGTCACACATTGTGCACAGCTGTCTGGGAGCATCTGCTGTTCAGAATTAGGTGTTAATGAGTTCTCACTGATCACACAGTAACACTGTATATCACTGCTGGTATGAAGTTTGTACATATCACTGTTCTGATATAAAATTATTGCAAATTTGAAGTTGCTTTCATTAATATAGTTTCTTGAATAATTGAAGTATAGCTCAAATGGCAATAGGTCTAAAGGACATTTCTCCAGATACACTGCTATTTTCAGTTCTAAATTTTGAGGAAGTTTCCTTTTAATCTTCAATTTTGTGTGAAGCTTAATCTCTATATTTTAATGTATTTACCTTGTGCCACTGAGTTATCTACAAAGAATGCAGATTACATCCAAGATATAACTTCTTAATTAGCAAGCATTGGTCCCAAACTCCCTATTTATCCATATTTATCTATATTATATAAAGAGCATTAAATTAATTTATTGTGTATTTCAGTGAATTTACAGTAAAGATTACTGTTTTCAATTCTATGTTTCTTAATCTATATGCTGTTGTAAATATATAGGTACACATAAGATACTTGAACATCTGAATGAGAACTTCCTCACTGTTTGAATGTTGTAGAATATATAAATACATAAACACTGTTTTTTAGTTACATTCTTTTTATGCCTAATCCATGCTTTATTTCTTACTGTCCTTTCTTCCCTTATTCCAGCACATGCAAATTTTTGTTTATTAATATCTGTGTGATACTGCAATGATAAATTCTGCTATGAAAGTCTCCTGATACGCTATCCCTGATTATGGCAGCAGAGAGGTGCAGCTCCAGCTTGCCTGCCTCTGGGAGGGGCTGTAGTGCTTCATGCATTACAGAAAAGGAGGTGGGTATCACCTTCTGTAACACATGTCCAGTTTTTGGTACACACTTACAGAGACAGTGAGTATTCCCTCTTCATGCTGGTCACTGAAAACTTTTAGTCACCTTGCCATGTAATATTCATTCTCACGTGCAAATTATATCCTAACCCCAGCATATAAATGTTAATGAAAATGGTGGGTTTATAGATACCACTGATGCCTCCAGACTTCTTCTGGGCAGTAGATCATAGAACAGACTTCCTGTTAGGGCTTTGATTGGTTACAAAATTCCACTTGCGCAGTGGGTGAAAATAGGGTTTCCTTGTTCTGCCATTGAATGGCAAGGCTTTTGTTCATGTCAGATGAAAATACAGCTATCCCTTTCAAAATAATAGCTGTGAACATATTGACAATATTAGCAAACTGGAAGAAAAAGCACTTCACAACACTTTGAAAAATACAATATTGTACTGAGCTCTTAACAGAAGATTTTTTCCTCTCCCAGGTTTTAAATAATTTTTCTCAAAGTTTTGTGATGTGGGTGTGTTACTCAGCTGAGGAAACCTGGATAAGAAGGCTTTTGGAAACCATTCATGTGTTTTTCCTTTCAGCTAAGGGGTGAGCATGCAGTTCTGCAGTATAGCCACATGGCGTTTGCAGTGTGTAAGCAGGGGAGCAGCCTCCCCTTCCTTTCCATCCAAGTCACTACTTACTCAAAGTAACATAATCCCTGCTGTATTTGAAACACACTCTCACACTCTCCTGGGGTAACTCCTGAGCAATTCAGCTGTTCTCATTCTCATGTCTCTCCTTAGGAAAATTTTTCTTGCTTGTTTCCTTCATGAGCACTGTATTCCATCCTTTGTGCATGGCACTGTAATACGTTTGAATAATTTCACATCTATCCCAAATCACAGTAAAACTTCCCAATCTGAATGCAAAACTATCATTTCCTCTCCCTGAAATTTAAGTAACTTAAATACTACAAGCCAATGAATACTTACATTCTTCCCAAAATCACTTAATTCTCTGCAGTAAATAACACCACCTCCATTGAAACTAGCTGGCTTTTCAGAAAGAGCCTTAAGCAGATGCCTATAAATGAAATGATGATTATCTTCTTAGGTACCTTTTCTGTGTGGATGGATCCCTGTTCTGTGATGGTCCATTCACTGGCATGGGGGCAGTTGGGTCAGTAGGGGTATCACTAATTGGAGTGGGTATCTGTTTGGAAAAGTTTCCTTTGCACAGTAGGTGTTCTCAGTGTTCATACTTCCATAGTAAACAGTGCAACAGACAGCCCCCTTTCACGTGGGCTGTGTGCTATTAAAGGGGTGATAGCTGCCCTCTCAGCCTCCAGAGAAAAATATCCTGAGCCCAAAAACATCAGAGTTGGACAAAGTGACTTTTTATGTCACCACAACTCCCGTTACACTGGCATAGCAAAGGAGAGGTCTACTACCTGGGTCAGGGTAGGAGAAGAATGGCTTAGAAGGTGCTGTGATGTACTTGGGGCTTCTTACATAGTGGTGGCCCTTAACTCCTCTCCAGACTTGAATGATGTTCCTGCTGAGTCAAATTTGGACTTTGGCTTGTTAAGGTGACACCCTGATATTAGGAAAAAACTTGTAAGTGAAAAATACCCACTAGATGGCAGAGATGGCTTACAAATGTAAGCAGGAAGGAAGCCAGATGCAAGCTGTTAGTAGTAGTATTTATTTCTCACATTATTGCAATGACAGGGAAACGTAGAAGTGGATCTGAATACTATTGCACCAAGTGCTGTGAAAATACAGTCCTCCAGGACCGCTGCTGTCTACAAGAGCGCTATAAAATCACAAGCGTAAGGCCAGAGACAGCAAATGGATGTGGGGAGACAAGAAAGCTCTTGTGCTAAGGTAGAAAGAGTTCCCAGGGTTTTGCAAGGATGTTCTGTTTATAGAATCATGACAGGCAAAGGGAATCTGTTGGCAGGCTCATATAAAAAAAACTTCTAGCTTAGCACTTGGGCCACAAACTTCACCCTTGGCAACAAAACCCCTGATATTTAAAAGAATCCTAACTCAGCTTTGTGCTGTGAACATCCTGTTTGTTTTCTTTTCTTCAGATCTGCACCAGCAGTACAAAGAGGACCTATATCTTCAGACAGAGGAGGCAGCTGGAACAAGCTCATGTTTGTTTCTTTTGCAGGCTTTTTGTTCAGATTTGCTTTAGTGTACTAAGTTAATCAACTGAATCCATAACCTCTGTTTGCCTTAGCTGGCTATAAATTTGGCTTCAATTAATTTCTAACATCAGTTTCACCCTACTTTTGGGACTGGCAAACTTACATATTAAAACCTTACATACTAGATACTGGCTTCTTTTAGTATCAAAAATCAAAAATTATCCCGCTGCTGCTAGGAAGCCTCACACTTCATTTTATTTTCTCTTCTAGAAGAAGTTCATTGCTATTTCCTCTTATCTTTATTCTCCAGAATTAAACTGAGAATAATACTTCCTGTTCACATACTTCAGAAAGAAAAATGATACTATGCCTGTCATACATCACCCACAGGGATTACTTGTTTGCAAAACCATCCTAACATCTGACCCTGGGAACCAAGTGACTGATTATCATGTTTTGGGAGGGTGAAACATAAATTCAAGTGGGGGAGATCTTAGATTGCTCGCTTGATACAAGATGAAATAGGTAAGACAGTGGAAAATAAACTTATTTTCGTAAGTGGTCCAGTACTTGGGCCAAACTTAAACTAGGGTACAGCAAGTTTCTGGCTGCATACTTGCACACAATATTTTACCATATAATATCAATTGCTTCATCATCCACACAGCTTTTCCTCAGCTGGCTGTTTCCTGGACACTGGATAGCAAATAGACAGAAATACCAGGTCTAGAAAGTTCCACAGTTTTTCCACCATGATGTGATTTATGGTATATCAAATTCAGAGAAGAACCTGCCAAGTCAGACATTGGCCTGCTTGCAGTGAACTCGGATAGCAGGGTTCAGAACACACGGAGGAGAGAGCAGATGCCATCCTGAAGGTTTCTTGGGTTACTTGTGTGAATTCCAGTGCTCCAACTAGATGCTCCTCTAAAGCACCAAGACATCCAGCAAGATGGCACATAAATCTCCAGAAAAAAAATGGTCATTCTACTAGAGAATAACTTCATGTATATATTTTTTGCACATTTTGTGTTAGCTTCTGTATTATTTATGTTTGTATTGACTGGTTGCCAGGAAACTCATCTCATTGACTCTGATTGAAGGGTCCACTATAGATTTATATCCTTTCAATCCCTGATCATGTTATATGTTTGAAAGATAAAATATTTAAATTACATTGCAGTTGCTTATTTGTCTTTCTTTCCTGCCTGTAATAATCTTTACTTTTGGTTTTAATGCAAATCTCTACATTGAACACATACTTGGGTTTGCCTATGTCACCGGTGGGTTTAGGCTCCAGCTTGAAGGATTTTTGTATGTTTCAGACACAAAAAAGTACTGGAAGTACAAAAGTACTGAAATCAGAAGTAATAGGCCTTTGAAAATCTGAGCTATATTATGCCTCAAAATTGTTCCCTATCTGTGCTGTAACTTTAGTCCTTTGATTAGTTCCTTGAACATCCTATTCATTTTCATTGTTTTTTTTAATCATGTATTATTTTTTACAGCGGTCATCAGAGTAGTAAGAAAGGTATCTGTAACACAGTCACATCTCAGATAGCTAAAGCCAAGCAATTTTGATCCATCTTCTATTTGCCCACAACAGATCCTATCATGACACATTTTGGGCCACAGGCTGTAGAGACAGTGTGTGTGAGGCTCTCAGGTGTTCCAGCCATCACCAGGCTGGTGTGTCCTACCTGCTGACCTGTGTGTGACAGTGTATGTGAGATCCAGAGAACAGCTTCATACCATTAACCAGCCATGTGCCTCTTAGGCAACTTCCAACCACAAACCAAACATCCCAGCTGGCCAACTTTTGCTTTCCAGCTTATGAAAGCTTTCCAGCCTCTGCATGTAATTGACTCCAGAAGCACAGTCAGTGATGGCAGTTACGGTACCAAACACTCTGTAGAAAGTGCTAAATAATTCTGTATTGAAAAAGAAAAATAATTAAAATACAGAGCAAAATGCTACAATTCAAACAACTGAGGTTATTTATTGCATAACCTTATGTCAAGAACAACACACCTCTTGCAGTGTTTTCTTATTTCTAATGTTCAACTAATATAGCTAATAAAAAAGAGCAACAAGGCAAGGTTCTAGATGCATAGGTTTCCTGAGATCTTAGAGGCAGCAGATTTCAAGCTGAGTGTGAATCATTTGTTCTGACTTTAACATAATGGTTTTAATCTGTGCAAAAGAACAGTGGGACTGGCGTCTTGGAAGCTGTGGGGCAGAAGTGTCATCAGAGCAAGAAACAATAAGGTCATTTGTTAATCCCAGAGGGAGGGAGAGACATGAACACGTCTTTTTATAATTTCTACATCCATGAGGATGTGGTGAATAGTATTGTTTACAGTTACATGTTACACTGAAGTGGTGACGATCAGCCAGGTGAGCCTGTGCTATGTCTTAAACACTCAGGGAATACTCTGATTAGAAATGTCTCATGTAAGAGCTGTGCCAATGTGGAGAAATCATACTGTCCAAAAGGCATCTGCTCTTTTCCTTAAACTCATTCAAGCCTGGGGAAGTTCACAAATACAGATTCAACCTGTTTGAGGGAGAAAATGTTTCAGATGAAAACAATATGCATATCGCTTAATTTGAGTTCTGTTGGATGCCAAAATCCTGTGTAAATCTATTAATAGCCAACTACTTATGGCAAATGAAAATATAATGTACAAGAGCATTACAAAGTGTTCTACATCTCTGCAGACAGACCTGTGGAAGCTACTGAGATTGAGGCAGTATTTCCTGCTGTGCCCATTTTGTGGACCACTTAAGAACTCTGTTATCTGGCATTCTTCATTCCTATATAGAAGTAAATATAATCTCCCCTCCTACTAACCTACTTCTTTTTCTTTCTGCTACATGCATTTCAGTCATTGTATCTGACAGAGGCTGAACTCTAATTCAGAGTAGTTCCTTTTTCCAGCATGTGTGTGCATGCACACATAAGCATCTGCTCACACCTGCTCTGCCTATTTTTAAATGCAAACTCTTGAGTGCTCTGGAGTAAAAAGTTATCAGAATAAAGCGTGGACAACTTGATCACCTCTTTGCCCTTTTTATACTGCTGGTGTTTATTTTTGTCATATTGGTCTTGATGTGATATTCAACTGACATGACTACATTTTCAGTCAACAATCTTAAATGTAGTGAAATGTGACCTGAAACCTCAAGAACTTGAATATTTTTTTGTTCTGTGAAAGCTATCTTTTGATAGTGTTCTTCTCAACTGAATTACCAAGAAGTAATTCTGATGTATTTTGCTTTAACAATAGTGTGAAGTGGAAGAAGAGTGTTTTTAGTAGATCCAAGAAGTTTGGTTTAAAATAGCTCCGTATGGGGAGGCACAGTATCTTAATTTAGCCAAATGTCAGGGTGGCTCAAACACTTCACAAGTTTTTTTTTTTATTTTCAGGTTTTTCCTAATTCCAGCTTCTGCCCAGTCTAAATTTACATGCAATTTTATGTAAGAGGCAAAGACTATAATCTGTCAAATTTTGTTTATAATCTGCAGGCATCTGATTTCCTAGCTTCTTGAAAATTACGAAGTCAAGCTCCCAGATCCTCATTCCCTTAGGGCAGCAGCGCAGTTCCAGTGCAGGCTGGCAGGGAGGCTGGTGCAGGAAATTGGAGCCTGGGAGAGTGGCACGTATGTCCCCTCACACTGTGCCAGAGGGCCCCTGCTGCCTGGCAGCCCCCCTCCTCCTACCTTCTCCCTTTCTCTGCAGCCACAGCCAAGGTGAACCCGACCTCCCTTCGGATGAGTTACTTTGTATTTATAGCAGAATATGTGAGCAGAAAAATATGTTGTTGGAAATTCTGTAAGAAGAAAACAAAGGTGGAAATTAGAGTATACATTTCCTCCCAGCAGCAGGCAGTGCAGTGAAGTGGTCTCTCACTTGTGACCATTTGACTAGGAGTACCTGTGGGCTGTGTAAGCAGTAAGTGTTGTAAGTTCCCTAAGTGTAGACAGAGACAATCCTCCAGAATTCCTCCAGTATGCCTGGGATATCTTATGCCCTTAGTTACAATACTTAATAAATAAATAACAAAGAATGTAAGTACTGTAGGCAGAAATCAGAATTACAAATCAAGACTGTGGCAAATTCTGGATTACCAAACTGCAGGGAGACTTTTTTTCCCCCATTTGCAGCAGGTAAAGTCAAGAGTGCTAAAGAAATGACAGGTATTCTATCTGTGGCACTGTGTCAAGGAACAGATGTGGAAAAGCCCCTAGGTCACTTTGTACCATTTTGTAGAAATAAGTATCCCATGGAAATTTTAATCTTCTGATACCAAATCCCAACTGTAGGACATGCTGGCCTGGATTGAGCTCCATTTTTACTTATCCCTTTGCTTTGATGAAACATACCAGAAAATCCAGAGCTGGTATTTCCACAACTCAGAGTGTATGCTCTGGGCTTTCACCCAGAACTTTCTGTCACCACTGCACATTAGCATGAGGTTATAAGACATAAATCGCTTGACATAAATCACTTGAAAAGTAGTTAAGGACAGTAAGTATAACCAATAATCTTGTAAAATGCAGCATCAAATCCCAGACAAATATTTCTACACATGCATACAAAAGAATGTTTTACAGTTGTCAATTAGAGAGGATCTTTGACAAGTTTCTTGGTTTTTTAACCTTTGACCTATCACATGAAGCTTTTCCAAGTGGCATACCTACCCTGTATAGTTCTTTCAGGAGTAATTGTGCTATTTACGCATTCTTGGAGTTGGAGAGCCTAATTCTGTATCAACTTTGTTCCCTTGGCTGCCTCAGTGGGATGGGAGCCTTATGGGTATTTCTCTTCAGAATGAGTGAGCAGCATAACAATTAGTAGTGGTTAGAAAGCAAGCACTCAGTTTCGTGAAAGTTGGTGGGATTAGTGCATGTGCTTTTCCTCTGCACTAAACTAAACCTTGAGAAATGCTTTGCACATGTAAAGCAGCCTCATCAGAAATCATGGTAAGATCTCACTGATAGAATGTAGCTTTGGTACAGCTCTCACTTACTTGCAAACTCAGCTATCACAGCTGTTGATTTTTTTTTATAAATTAAACGTGTCTTAAGTAAAAAATATTTTCTTCATATCCCAATTCAGGTAGAATGAATGAGTCATTAAACATGGGTCCCCCATTCTGCAGAGCAGTGCTTTAAATAGTACACTTTGGAATGTGTTTTTCTAGTTTGCCTAGGACATCATTTTCTGACATGTCTAAATAGAAAGACATAACAAAAAGTGGTGAAGGTGGTACAAAAGAATGAAACAACCTGTTTCTCCAAGCTATTCTGGAGCTACTCCACCTCCCTCCCTAGCAGAGCAGCGTGTTCGTATGTAGGAGGTCTCTTGGCATGTTGCCTCATTCCTTGACAAAATCAATGTGTAAACCCCAGCTATGACATTGTTTTGTTACAAACCCACCACTTTGGCTACAGAAAAAAGAAATTGGGAATTGCAAAATACGAGAAGCAGCAGTGGTGGCAGCAGGAAATTCTTCAGCAACAGCAAAGCTCAGGATGCACCTGTAGAAGTGCCAGGCTCTCAAAGAGAAAGGGAAGGAGCAGATGGCATGACACTGAAGAAAGCCAGCAGGGGAAAGAAGCACAGAAATGGGAGGAAGATGCTTGGTCCAAAGAAGAATTCTTTGGACCCTTTGAGATCTTAGTTCACAATAAACAAAGAAAAAAAATCAGTAATTGGTGTCTGTTCCCCTGTCTCAGAGAGAACAGCACTGTCAGTGCTGTCAGGGCTCCAGCTGGCGACAAGTGAGCTCGCTCAGCCAACACACCGAGAGGCCAGGGCTGCTCAGACAAGGGAAAGGAACCAGGCTGTGCATGTCTGCATGGAGAATGATCAAGGAATAGCTATTTCCCAACAACCTGGACATAAGCTTTAAATGCACATCCAGTCATATTGTATTCATTTGTAAGGCAGTCAGAACTGGATCAAATCGGAGCTGAAGGACAGATGTCACCACTTCTGAGACTGTTCAGGGTATGTCTGTATTCTTGTCAGTGCATCTCACCAGTTGCTTGATTCTGCTGAAATAATACGACTGTTCATAAATCACATCCTAGAAAGAAACAATTTAAAATCTGTCGTTCTGGTGCCATTTCAGGAGAGCAGAACACCAATGGAAAAAGCAGGCAATTAA